GTAAGATTCTTTTTTATTATTATTATTATTGTGAAAATACCGTACAGAGGAGTTACAATTACATGGGCAAGATAACGAGAACATTTCTTATCAAGCATGGTTGTCTGCTCCTTTGTTTCCCCTTCCCATCCCTTCCCATACCCCCCACCCCCACTTGATCCTCGCCCCCCCCCCCCACCAAAGTTGAAAAGTTCGTTTTTCGACATAACGACTTGTACATCTCATTGCTGCAATGGGTCCACCTGTATCCCTATTTAAACGATTTGTTTTTTCCCTTCCCCTCCACAAATTATACCAACATCAAATACAGTGAAAACAGGGGTTCTTTACAACTAGGCATCAGTTTTAATTGTAGCTACTCTTTTAGAGATCAAGGCTGGAAGGAATCCAGGCAGAATTGTTCACTAGACTGCATCTCCAAAACGATCAACAAAAAGCAGAATTAGAGGCCTGGTTCAAGTGATAGAGTACTAGACAAGCAAGAGCAAGGCCGTCAGTTATAAAGCCAGCACCACAAATTAATAACATCAGTAACAGTAATAGCTTTTTTTCAATTTTACATGAACCTCAAAAAATGCTGTTCAGTGTCTTTTTAAGACTCAACCTGTGTAAAATGCTTAATGATTTTGCCTATAGCAGAAGTGCAAAAGGTCATTTTTCCTACATTAACTACCATAAATGACTAAAAGCAAGAAAACTTGCTTTTGCCATTTAGTAATCAACAATACACAAAAATAAGGCTACTTTAAAATTCCTGTAATTGCACAATATGATGTAGAATATGTGTAGAATTTAATGAGCAAGAACAACTAGTCTAGCAATACAAGATTTGAGCTTTTACAAATATTCACCATTTCAAGTAATGTAAGCCACATAAACTTTTTCAATACATAAAATTTCCTCTACAAACTTTTATATGTTAAAACTCTTTGCTGGTTACAGTGGCTCACATCTGTAATTCCTCCTACACTGGTACAAAGGATCCTAGTTCAAAGCTAGGCAATTCAAAACCGTTAATAAGGCCTTGTCTCAAACAATAATTAGCAATCTGCTGTTTATCCAAATGATCTATCTTCCTTGGGTCATTTCATGTCTAATGTTCACCTCCTACTCCCTCTGCTTCTACTGAGGGACAATGGGTATAAGAGAAGAAAGGGAGATTCACCACCTCTCTCTTAAATTCTCATCTAAATCTTGTCTAAGTCTCTGGTCCTAAGAGACTTGTTAGGAAATAGGACAGGTATGTCTGAAATAGAGAGCTTTGCTAGAGAATGAAGCACAGACCCTGGATTTATTTATGTCAATGAAAAAGCATACGATTTACCAGTCAGAAAGCAATTGAGATGGGAAAGTAGAAAAAAAGTCAATGAACACTTATTCACTACTGAACAAAACATGACTACTGTATTCAAGAATTCATCTGATAAATATTTCTGTTCTGCTAGCTTGTAAGGTGGGATATTTCATGGCTTAAAAGTGTGTTATGACTTAGATTTTTAGTCTACACATATAAGCTAGGATTTATTTTCATTCAATGTTAGCCACCAGCCTAAGAATTTGTATTCTTAACCTCATTAACAACTTCCTCAAATTAACTCTATTAGATTGTGTTCTCTTTGAATGTGCATGGACCTTTATATTTTGCCTTGACTATGTAAGATTCCTCATATGTTTATGGAACGAGTAAATAAATGATAAAACTTATTATTTTACAGCTCATAACACATGTATAGTATATGAAAGAAAGGTTTCCCTCCTGCAGACTAGACAGGACTAGATAGTGCATGGGGAGCTACTACCAGATTTCTTACTTGAAATTCCTTAAGAACTCAATGGGAGTTCAATTCTGGAAAGCTTGAGAAAAGGGACAATAATATTCTTCTAATGAATGGATTGATAGGCATAGTATACATATAATTATTAAGAATCATGTTGGGCACTGGTGGGTTAAGCCTACTCAGGAGGCTGAGACTTGAGGATCATGGTTCGAAGCAAGGCCAGGCAAGAAATTCTTATCTTGAATAATTACAAAAAAAAATCTAGAAGAGGAGCTGTATCTCAATTAGTAGAGTGCTACCCTTCAGCAAAAGAAACTCAGGACAGTGCCCAGGCCCTTGGTTCAAGCTCCAGGTTGGCACATGCACACATGCATGTGAACACACACACACACACACATACACACACACACACACACACACACACACACACACACAGGGAATAATGGTTTTTCATAATTTTGCAGTGAATATCCCAGCCTTCTAGAAACATCTCTAATTTAGCACTAACTACGATAGCATACTAGATATATGAGAAAAAGAGAAGAAACTTAAGAATAATGTAGGAAATAAAGGCAGTTGCCTGCACCTGAATTCCTTCTTGGGAGGCTAAGATCAGGAGGGTCATGCTTTGGTGTGAACCCCAGACATAATGTTCACAGGCCACTTCTCAACCAATGGCTGGGCGTGGTGGGGCATGCTCATAACCCCAGCCACACCAGAGGCTGAGATCGGGAGGATCTCCTCTCCAGGCCTGGCCATTAGAAACTGTCGGTATGTCTCCGCTGGAGGACACTGGGTGTGGCAGAGCCCATCTGCCACTCCAACTTCTGTGGGAAGGATAAAACAGTAGGATCTCCATCCAGGCACAGGCTGGAGCAAAGCCAGGTAAGAACTGGTTACCTCACACTAACCAGTACAAAAGAAGGGCTGGAGACATGGCTCACCAGTAGAGAGCCCACCTGGCAGACTGGATGTCAAGTTCAAACTCAAGTAGAATGATAGATAGATAGATAGATAGATAGATAGATAGATAGATAGATAGATAGATAGATAGATGAAATGAATTATCTGTGCAAAGCAAGACAGTTCCTGAAGTTTCCTACTTGCTGATTTCTGCTTATTTCACTTGGCATCTGACTCCCTGCGGCTCACTGGACTGTCTCAGCTGCTCTGTCTCAGGTACAGAGGACAGGGTTTCCCTTCCTTCTCACCTTAGGGACATGTAACCACAATCACAGTTTTGGTTCCCCCCAAAAAAAACAATGAATTGTTTTAAATGACTTAGAAAGATACCATTACTTCTTTTTAAAACATTAAATTGGGGCCAGGAAGATGGCTCAGTGGTAGAGCGCTTGCCTCGCATGCATGAGGCCCTGGGTTCGATTCCTCACACAGCGCCAGAAGTGGCGCTGTGGCTCAAGCAGTAGAGCGACAGCCTTGAGCTGAAGAGCTGAGGGGCAGTGCCCAGGCCCAGAGTTCGGGCCCCACAACTGATAAATAAATAAACAAATTATCACCAAGAATTCAGAGGGCTGAGGATATAACTCAATGGTAGAGCACCAGCCTAGCATGTGCAGGACCCTGAAGTAAGGCCCAGAAACAAAAAATAAAAGAAGTTTGAAAGGCATTATTTACAGTAATGGAGTTTGCCTCGGGCATTTCATCTACACTCAATACTGAAACAACCAGGTTCAATTGTAGAAGTAATTCTGACTGTCCAAACCCAGCTCAGATTTAACTTAGCCTCCAATTCCTTCTCTCATTTTGCTTCTTAGTTCTCTGTCATCAGGCCGTTCCCGCCTCTTTGTAAGTAAACAGATAGGGGTCTCCATATAGCACCAGTTTTATTTCTTTCCTTCTAATTTTTCTAGATAATCCTAAATATGCACAAACAAAAATAAATCCAGTCTACTATTTTGTTTTTAAAGCATAGGGCAATAGTATCCTATGTCATTTACTTCCCAAATTCATGTGACTTCTTCACAAATGCTAAATCGTAGGATAATTCATTTTTGCTAAAAATTACATGATCTATTTGGGGAAGGATTAATCATTTTTTCAACTCTTCATCAAGTAATATTTTCTTTTTCTTTCTTTATCTCGAGTAAAGTTTTTAACACATTTTCATATGTACAAAATCTTAGGCTGTAGGTCACTCAAGTGTATAGAACATAATCCCAGCCAGACTAGATCATAGGCTATTGTGAGACATTTTAAATGTTACTTTGTAGAAAACATTATGTGATTAAGACAAAACACAACTTCACATTCTCATTTGGAACAGAAAAGAATGTGAATTGTCTCCCACCTTAACATTTAACTAGCATATAAAACACATCATTTTTTTTAACATTTTCATATTTGGTAGATTGAAATGAAGTTCTGTGTGTGTGTGTGTTATGTGTAGGGTAAGTACTGGGCCGTAAACTCATAGCCTCATACACTTTTGCTAAGATAGATATTTTTTCTCAACACTAGTGCTGTAGTACTTGAGCCATACTTCTACTTCATGCTTTTACTGGTTAACTGTAAAAAAAAAATGTCTCTTGGATTTGTCTGCCTGATTTGAACTGTGATTCCCAGAGTTCAGCCTCCTAAAGAGCTAGGATTACAGGGAAAAGCCACCAGTACCCAGTTTAGAATCTTTTATTTCAACTTTAATGTCCATGATGAGTCCATTCAACTGAAAAGTATATTTCCATATAAGGTATATTCTATTAACTTTCCTTGAATTCTTCAATAGCTAAGCTTCCTTATGACCTTTAAACAAACAACCAGCCACAGAAACACTGGAAGACCAATTTCGTTGTCCTAATGTGATATTAGCTCACTGTCAACATACAATAATATTTTATCCTCAGCATCCTGGATAGATGTTGACAGTTTATTAGACTTTACATTTTCTAAAGAGCAACATTTGGACTCAAATATTTAATAGTACTAAGCATTAGGTTCATCAACAAATCTGTCAAACTATCACCTGTAGGGGAATATTTTCCCCCCTGTGAATTTTTTTTCAAGAAAACTGCCTAAATCATGAATAATATCATGAAGTCAAAAGCAATTGTAACCATATTTTAATATTATTTCTATAATGAATAGCAACATTCTGCTAGAAAATTATTATTTTTCTTCCAACACAATTTAATCATCCTTGTTTATCTGGAAAAGCAATTTTTAAATGTCCCCCATAATCCATCAAAGAAATGGAAATGTTTCTACCTGTTCTTTCACCGAAGCAAGGATGGCGGAGGTGGTCTCTGTTTCGGAGCCGTCCCCATTGGAGGTGTTTAAGCCAGGGCTCAGGGAGCTGGTCTTTTCGGAGGCTGACTGGGGCTGGTCTGGGACAGGCATAGCTCCTGCAATGGAAGAAGACAAGCTCAGTGGGAGGAGATACCATCACTACAATCAGATGTAACTATCAGACAACCTGAGGACATTTCAGGAAGCAAAGGGCTGCAGAGTCAGAATGTGACATAATTATAGAATTCGAAACAACGGGACTTTAGAGACTGATTTCACCTTCTGTCCACATAGCACTCACACCTTTGTGTTTTATCTTTGAGATAAGTGGGACAGGTGAGATGAGACCAATAAGACAATATAGGACCTAACAGGCACTAGATCAAATCATAGGCACTTGACAACTTTACCCACATAGACTAAGGAACACAGACCTGCTCATCCACCTCTTTTCTTCAATCTTTCTCCTATAGCATTGAATATGGAAAATAGAAATCATCAGAGCTGCTGTTCCCAAAGACAATCCCCATGCCTAGATACTAACGACCTAGAATAATTTCCATGGTTAATATTTTTTAACATCTAGATCCAAATTAACCATTGGTCACTACATAATATTGGACAGCAGAGATTGTCAACTTCCATTCCCAACGGTCTTACCTCAGACATTACAGAACAGACTAGGAAATGTGGAAAAGATCCTCAAGAACCAAGCCCTGAACTGTCTCAAGGAAGTACTGAAAACTTCAAGCTTCTAGATTTTGCAGTGAATGGTATGCCCGTGTGTTTTTATATTAGTCAGAGGTAATCCCCCAAAAATCAGTAATTAATCAGTACAATACTTAATCAGTATTCTATAGAATGACTTTTCCAGAATGGATGGCGTATTATTTCTGAAAAGGAAGTTTTTACTACCAACACCTCATGAGCAATTTCTGAAATCAACTAAGTTATTCAATAGTATAATTATATAATGATTAGTGTTGAATCTCCTTTCTATATTATATATATCCAAATTTATCTGATATAATTTCATCACACTTTCAAAATTCATAACATTTCTAACTGACATATTCCTAGAGACAGAATAAGTAGAACATAATGTGTGTGACTTTCAAGACTTTTCATAGCTAAAGACAAGTATTGGCTTGCTGTCACTCCTATCCTTGCTTCCTCTCCCATGAAGATCACCAAACATCTCCTTCCTATTCACCAGGGACCCCTCCCTGCTCTTGATCCTATGTTCTAAAACACAAAAATATTGTCACTATAGACTCTATTTGGCTCTATTACCTGCACTAGGCATCACTTTAATAATTTTCCATCACCTTATACTAATTTAATAATAAATAGACCAATAGAAACTACAAATTTTGCCCTTAAAACAGATATAAATCCGAGCAGTTTACAGTCATAAAATTTTAATATTTTTAACATATTTGATTATCTAATCTTCCATCCCACTGTATAAGAATAAGCAAAAACATTTTTAATTAAAATTAGGCTCCAAAAGACGCATGAATTAATGACACAAACACTAACACTGAACATGTCATTTGTATAATCACTTGGCCTGCCCAAAGTAGAAGCCTGAATTTGGAACTAACATCTCCACACCAAAATTATTCTTGCGCTCTGTACCCAGAAAAAGGTGCATGCACCCTAGCTTGTTGCTTTCAAAAGAGAAATTTAAAATTAATCCTTGTCATAATATAAGCGATGCAATAATTAATCACTGTCAATGTTAAATATAATTGGGGCAGAAACTCAATCTGTCCTGATCTAGGTTCAATTTAGCACACCTAGCTCAGTATCTGATCTGCAGCCGGCAGTTATTTGTTGAGTTAATGCATGAACTATTAGAGTAAAATCGATAATGGTTGCTTACTAGAGCATATAACATAAGCAAAATGAGCTTTGCGTTAGGAGCTTTTCTCTCTGTGGTATTTGAATGATGTATTTCTAACTCAAGAAAGCTGCTTTTCAGAAATCCTGATGAGTCTAAGGTTTTTGCCGCCATCAGCTGCCGGCCATGGGATGCCCTGGGTATTTGGATTCTCACATACAGCCATCAATCATGCAGGCTTCTGGGAGCTGAAACTTACAACCAGCAACCTGCCAACAGAACTGGGAGAAAATAGATGCAAGAAACAGCATTGAACTGTATGCTCAGCATTCAACCAGGGCACAGAATCCAAGACCAGTGAGTAGAGAATGACAAATCCTGGCTGAGAACTTAAGGGTGAGGTGTCAGTTACCAGTCATGGCCTCTGAGGCTCTGGCCTCACTTATAGATAGGAGGGCAGCACAGAGCGATGTTGGCATCTGAGTGTCAGAGATGATAGCTCTGCCATCCTCTGTGGAAAGAGTGGGAAGGCTGAACATCTCTCGAGGATTGGATGTCCAGTCCTGTCACTGCATGATCACTGACAAGGATACGATCGTGACACAATTATCACCACAGAGCTGAGGTCTACCTGCACTGTGATCCTTAGTGACATGAAGACTGATGGGAGGTAAAAGGAATATTCTGTGGAGGCTACTACAGAGGGAGTATGATAAGCTCTGCTCACACTTGCGAGAGACCCAGAGGCAGCCAGGTCCTAGCAGGATACTGTAGTGAGGACTGGGGACAGTCTTCCTCTGTCTATTCTCTGAGTGTCTTTAAGTCCTGTTTCCTAATGCATGAACTCAGCAATTTTCACTACTCCTAATAAACGATCTCAATAGTTCACATGTAAGAATATTATTGATAGGTACCTACAAAGAGTTAGAAATCAGGAAGATGGTAGTTCAAAGTGAACCTTGTTAAAAATAAATAGGCTAGCTAGATACTTGTCAATAAACAAACCAGGTATGGCAGGGACATATTTTTAATCCAGGCTACATGGGAAGCCCATGTTGGAGAATGGGTCATCATGGGCTGGGGCCAGACCAGAAAGAAGCATGAGACTTTATCTGAAAAATAACCAGAGCAAAAAGTACTAGAGGGGTAGGTGAATTGCCTACCTAGCAGGTGTGAGGCCCTGGGCTCAAACTCACTACCGCTGAAAAAGAAAGGAGGAAAAGGAGGGAGGGAGAATGAGATGGAAGGAGGATCGAAAGTAAGGTGGTAGGAAGGAAGGGAGGAGGGAAGGAGGGTTGCTAGGTAAGGTTGTGATGATGAAGGCCCATGGATTTAGCTGTACTCAGGCAACTCACTAGGTCAAGGGGAAGAGCCAAAGGATGGCAAGAGCTTTAAGGACTGGCAGCAGAAAGACTGTGAGCAGAAAGGACCAGAATCCTATGTGAGGTAAGCTGGGAGGCGAAAAGGAGAGCTGGTTTTCGGAGAGCAGCAGTCGGGTTCTGAAAATACCCAGGAAGAAAACTGGGAAATCTCGGAAGAGGATTTTCAGAAGTGTGATGATGACCTTGAGTCTGTGAATGACCTGAGCTTCGACTGGCCAATCTGCAAAAATAACCAATTCTTGAGACATGCAGAGTGTTGTTACAGGGTAGGGTGAGGTATGCTATGCTACTGAAGAATGCCAATGGCCAGCCCAGCACAATGAGAATTTCCAAACATCCACAACTTGCATTTCACGTCACTGAACATTGCCTGCGCTGGTTGTGCAAATTATGACTCTGATATTTATCATTAATGAAAATCTCACAATTGAGCTCCATATAGGTAATTACATCTCAAATAGCTACATATGAACTCCACAAATACCACATTCAGAATGGCCCTTTGTCTTCTTCCAGATACCCATAAAACCTCTCTAACCTAATCCCATCTTCCAGCTATACTGTCTCCTCAAATCTCTTATCTATAAAACTTATTAGGAGAGTCGACATCTTTGATTGCAACACCCTCTACTGCCCTATTTCAGCGATTCTCAGCACCTTGGACAGAGGCTTCGAAACTGAGGTAGGAAATGCATTTTGTATAGACACATTGTAATCAGAAACCAAAAAATAGTTAACAAGTGGAAGCTTTCAATGAAGGGTACATACTTCCTGTTCTGTTTTAGACAGTTACATGAGACAGGATAATGGATAAACTAATAGAAGCTGAACAGTTTAGAAACTATCCATAGAAAAGGTGAAATCTGGTTGGCTTTGCATGTTGGGAGAATCAGCTTTCCCATTCATAACCATGGTTAAATCTTAAATCTTGTCTTGCCTTTCCCTTCACCCATCTGTCTTTACAGTAGATACAACAAGGGTCTCGTAGTTCCCAGTACTGCTTACTGAATTGAATTTTGTACACATGGAATTCTCTCTCCCTCTTGCTTTCATCATCTGTCTATTAAAATGCCCATCCTTTTCTCTCCTCCTGTTTATGCATTCTTTCTATCTGTACCCTTTCTGGAAAACTCTTAACAATGTGAACCTCTTCCTTGCTTCTACCTTGGTAGCTACACCTCCCTCAGACATGGCATTTATCTCTAAGAGTTGCATTTATCACCGTGGGCTGTAGTGATTTTATCTCTTCTGTGACTAAAAATATCACTTTAAATATGACTTTCTTGTTATTATTAAGGAGTTGAACGGATAGGTAAACAATTGCCTAAGTCATGTAATGAGTCCAATTCTTTTTGGACAATGTCACCCTTTCCTTAAAATATCTTTTAGTGCTTTTGTAATTAGGAAACTTTTGATATAACTGTGGTTCCTTTTCCTTCAGCTGTTTAGGATGGATTTTCTGTCAGCTGGAACTAAAAAGTGTTATTAGACAGTGCTATATTTAAATTTATGGAAACACCATAAATTTACATTTCATGTCTCCTAATTAGGTCATGAATTCTTTGAGCTCGAAAACTATGTCTTATTCATATTCATGACCTCCGTGCCTAGAATAGTGCCCTACAAAGAACTGACATCATTAATGCTTATTGAGTAAGTTAAAACAGAGAAGACTTAGACTTCATCATCAGCCCTATTTTAAAATGGCAAGGAGGGTTATACTGACAATATTGATTGGTGTATAAATGTCTTATATACTTTCCCTGATGAACAAAAGAAAAATGTTCAAATTGATGAATTTGGACAATAGATACTCAATAGTAAAATAGTCAGTGTGTATTTCTGCACATCACACCTATGTCCATCTTTATAATGAGAATGTCTGAGC